TGTAATTTGCATAGTTGAGGCTTATTTTCTTTTATGGTGATGTATTTAAGATGATAATTATTTACTTTTTTATAAAAAATAGAAAAAAATATTTGATATGTATAACTGTTGAAAATTTCATGTATAATTGTTGAAAATTCTAGCCTGGGTGAAAAAGAAAAACTCTAGAGAGAAGCAAAAGGAATACAAACTAGAACTCTCTTAAAATTTCATGCCTTCAAATCCCATAGTGGAAAATGACGACTTTCTAATAAGTAATAACCATATATAATTGTTTTTAATTGGACTCAACATTGAGCTGAAAAAGTTCGCGGTTCATGGTTCAATTATTAATTCTGTAGATTGTTGTTCAGTCGTGTATGGACTCGTTCATACTTGTGATTAGAATACATAAAAATAGTATACTAATTAGGGTTAGACGAAGAAGGCAAACAAAGAAATAAAGAATGGGTTATGGAGGGCAAGTGAAAAATGAAACGAAGGGGAAGTAGATGATGAAAAGGTTTTGTCCAATTATTTGTCAATGTAACAGTCAACCCTTTCCACCATAGCAATTTATTAACACTTGCTTATGTAGATGTCACATATTTTGTTACATGTAGTTAGTAGAAGTGTGTTTAGTACCCCGTAAATGTACTAAATAAGTTTAGAAATTCGCTCTTGCAATATTTTAGAATCATCTCTCTCTTATCATATTTTTTAATGTTTCACGTTTGAGTGATACAACATCTTGTATGGTACAAACTAAATTTATACTTTTATGTTATGGTGGATTGGATCAAAAGAATTGGTGGATTGGATTCATGGATTCAAATGAAATCTAAATATTGGACCAATATGTGTAAAAGTTAAAAAAAATGTACGTACGATTTAGATACCAAAACATAATTGTTCAATGATTTTAAATTAAATTTAAATTTGGGATATCAAAATGTAAAATGTACATTACAGTGACTAAGTTGTAATTTAATTAAATTTGGAGTATCAAAATGTAATAATTTAGGCAACAGTAACTTGTCTTCAACTTTATATATACTAATTAATAGTATTCAAATTATGAATCAGGTAGAGCATGTTGATATGTTAGTGCCTTCCATTATCCGATATATATACACTGACAAACATAAGGAAAGGTTGTTCTAAACAAAAGACAAACCTAAGGGAAGAATTGAAAAGGTTGAGGGGTGAGATGAAAGATATTGGGTTAATACCTTATTTTGGCCCGAACTATGACCATATAATCAACTTTGGCCCGTGGTTTCAGAAATTAACATCCTTGTCTCAACTATGCAGCATATAGACTCAATTAGTCCGACACATAGTTTGACCGTCAATTTGGACGGTCAACGAATGTCATTGCCTAGTCAGCCTAAAAATCATTAAAAAAATTTAAATTCAAATTATTTTCCTAATTTCTATTATTATCATTTTCTAATTAACCAAAAAATAAAATTCTAAAAATATAAAATAATTTTTTTGGGATATTTGAAAATGATAAATTTTATAAATTAACCAAAATTACCAAATATTTTATAAATTTAAAAATTATTATATAATTTGATAATTTTTGGTTAATTTATATAATTTATCATTTTTCAAATTATCCAAAAAATAAAAAATCAAATTTATTTTATGTTTTTTTATAATTTATTTTTGGTTAATTTGATAATAAATAAGAAAAAATAGAAAAATAATTTGAATTTGCATTTTTATAATGATTTTTAGGCTGACTAGGCAATGGCATGGCGTGTTGACTAACGGTCAACGGAGTTCACCGTCCAAATTGACGGTCAAACTATGTGTCGGGCCAATTGAATCTATATGCTGCATAATTGAGGCCAGGATGTTAATTTCTGAAACCACGGGCCAAAATAAGGTATTAACCCAAGATATTGATATCATAAATACCCTTTATTGTAGCTCTATTGAGGTTGATGGTGTCTTGAATGAGTTGACGAGACCATTGTGGGTTTTGCTGAAAATATGATAGAAGAGTTTCTTGCAATCAATTCATGATGAACATCTCTTTTTTCCCTTGATTGAGGCGGATGAAATTATACATGAGTTCACATATGCACTCCATCTTAAATTAGTTGACAAGAAAATCGTTGGATTAGGACGAGCATGCGCTAAATTCGTGTAATCAACGTAACTCATGATGAATAAAGTGGTTAATCTATTGATGAGTAGTTTACATCCAAGATGCTATTTTTGGACTAAGTTACGCGAATACTTTTTTTCATATGACAATACTTTTATTGTTAGAGTGAGCAGATGTATAGAGTGTAAAGGAATAAAGAATAGGCTATGATGTTTTTCAGTGGTACGATATGGAAATGAGATAAAAATGATTCTGCGGTAGTGAAAAAAGTTCATACATGTCCAAATTTTCGGGCTTGATTTTATTGAGAGTTTGCGATAGAAATTATACAACAAATCTACAAGTAACTGCGAACGCAGCAAAGAGAAGCAGAAACGGGGGGCAGTCGCAATGCAAAGGGTTGATTTTTGGGTCGAGATGCAAAAACGAAAACTCATAATTGAAGAGATGATTTGTGGGTCGGTTGATGTCAGAATTTGTGCTTGAAGATTGATGTTCTTTGATTTTCCCAGATTTGCTTGTTTTTTTATGTTTTAATTATTACTTATTTTATTTTTATTATTCACAAATCAAAAGACCACGTGTTAACTTGTTCTTTTGTAATTTACTTTGTTTTTATCATTTACTTTTTCTATTATTATTTACTTTTTCTATTATTATTTATATTGAAAAGAGAATCGCCACGTCAGTTTTCTGTTAGTCCATTCAACTTGTTAACTCGCACCGTCAAAGTATGGACGAAATTGGACATTTTGTGTATTTCTCAAAAAATGATTATTGTTATCACAAACACCAAGTTTTGGTTATTCATATATATTTTTGCCTATTATCCATATCATATTCCGAGTGCGGATCTGGTGACTAAGGGGGGGTGCTTAGTCACTTGACTAAGTCCCTCCTAGCCATTAGATCTGGACACTTCAATCCAATGGTTAAAAAGTGGGAAGGGCTATTTAATTAATAGCAGGGGTAGTTTGGGTATTATGAAAAATTATGAAGTATACAAACCGGATTTACAATCAGTACAAACCATACAAACATACGAACAGTACAAACTAGAGCGACAAAACATACAAACATTACAAACGTATGAACTGTACAAACAATACAAACCGTACAAACATACGAACAGTACAAACTAGAGCGACAAAACATACAAACATTACAAACGTATGAACTGTACAAACAATACAAACTAGACTGACAAACAATACAAACCATACAAAAAGAAAAAACACCCGGGTTGACTTTGGAGGCTCCATCCCTATATAGAGGGGCTCCTTCCCAAAGTCAACCCGGGTGTTTTTTAGACGTACAAACAGTACGAACATGGTGGACAAAAATGACAAACTAGACCGACAATCCATACGAATGGGAAAAAACACCCGGGTTGACTTTGGAGGCTCCATCCCTATATAGAGGAGGTCCATCCAAAAGTCAACCAGGTTGTTTTTTAGACATAAAAAACATTACAAACATGGTTGACAAAAATAACAAAGTTTACAAACATGATGCACAAAAATAACAAAGTTTACAAACATTACAAAAAAACCCGACAAACATTACAAAATAACAAAGCATACAAACATTACAAAATACGTCAACAAACATCACAAAATTAGCACTGTCGCCGGGAAATTCTTCTCCGGCGACGATGTTCGCCGGAAAAAATTTTCCGACCAGAAAATCTCTCTCTCTCTATCTCTCTCTCTCTCTGGACGATACATTGTCTTCCGCCCAAAATAAATGGACAGCAATCTCTCTCTCTCACCTTAAATGGACCGCCCAAAATAAATGGACAGCACCATTGATATAAATGGACAGCAACCGCAATAGCAAATGTCGCCGCCGGCTAGAAGAGACGCCGGAAAATAAATCAAGGTCGGCGATTTTTTTTTCCGACCGGGGGAACCGCGAATGCAGCAGCGGTTAAAATGATTTTTCTTTGTTTATTATTTAAATTAATAAATTAAATAATCATGCAATTACTACATTGCCCTTCATTAAATTGGATTAATATGGGCCATTGGATTTTAATGAGGTGCAAGGGTGGAGATTCACTTAGCCATGTGACTAAGGGGACCCCCTTAGTCACCAGATCTTAGCCCATCATATTCCTTTACTCTCGCCACGGTTTCTTTCTTTGTCTCTCTCTCCAACTAAAACAAGCCAAATTTTTGAGAAAAAATCCCAAAGTATACATTAACTAACAGTCCAACAGTTGCTTGCAATGATTAAATTAATAAACAAAACAAATTAAAATGTAGTAGTACTAGTAGTATGAAGAACACGATTTGTCTGATTTGTTTATTTATCTTTTAGTTAGATAGATTGTTGTCGACTTTCAGGCTCATGCTTTAGGTAGAGAAAGACGAACAGAGAAACAAAGGTAGAGAGAAAGAGAAACGGAATTGGAGCAGCTTTTTTACCTTTTGCTCCGTCGTAGTTTGCTGATTTGCATTGAGGACAGTTCATTATTCTCTTTCTCATTTCTGAGAAATCCGTGCATCTTGAGGATTTGAGAGAGGGACAGGAACATGATGACCCTCCACAGTCCCCTGTCTCTTTCTTCTCCCTCCGTCGGTCTTTACTGCGACTCTCTCTATTTATTCTCATCCCCGTTTGGCTTCAAAATCAAACGGCCACTGAAGGCCAAGACAAAACCCCAGTTCATTTCTGATTTTAATTTTTTCCATGGGGATGTTCTCCTCTTTTTCTCCCGATTTTTAATGGGTACGTTAATGGCGGCTTCGTTTTATATCTCAGAATTTTATGATTGGTTGTTTTTATTATAACGTGGCATGGTTCAATTCCTCCCTTTGATATAAAACAATTTCGTCTTCCCTTTGAATTTTTCTTGTTTGGATGCTTGATGGGTATGAATCACGTCATGTGAACTATCATATCATCAAGTTTCCCTTTCCTACCTTTTGGGTTTTGGTTTTTTTTCCGCGCAACTCTTTCTATATATTTCTTTCTGCTCCTTTCCTGAACCCAGTTTTGATTGTTTGTAGCTGATATGGAGATGGACGTTCAAGACGAAGACCAGAAAGAAAGTGCATAACTTTTGCCATTTATGATGATCCTCACGCAGCTTGATACTTGGACTAAGGGATCGAATTCGGCATGGGCGATCGAGATAGGAAGGATATAAGTCCCCTTTTGCTGAGATTTGGTGCAGCTGTATCTGTCTCGTTTGCTGGATTCCTAGTCTCTCGCGTCAGAGCCAACAGAATCCATATGGCCAAGCAGCAGCCGCAGCCTCCTCACTCCCCGAGATCCCCAGGTTTGTATTGATCATTCTTTGTTGTTCGGATTCGTTTCATTTTGATTTGATGTTGATTAAGTTGGTTTTTTAATGATTGGCGGCTTAGATCATGAGAGTAGCAGTAGAGCTGGCATTGGAGTAAGCAAGGCCATTTGCAATGATGATGTTCTTTCAGTGAAAAGAACTCCTGGTGCTGGTTGCATGGGATTGGATGGACAAGTAAGTTTTGATCATAAGCTGGTTGAAAAGTTTCTCCGACCTTATTGTATAACCTGTATGTTTATCTGGTTTTCTCTATGGTAGGATGTTATTTGCAGGGTGAAAGTTCCTGCTGAAACTTCCCTGGGCAACTTTTCACCAAGCTGCAGGCTGAGTGGTGATAAAGATGGCTACCTATCGCCAGAATTCAATGATCCAGTAAATGATTTAGGTGTTGTGCCTAAGGAGCTTAGAAGTGCCGAGGATGATGAGCATGAGGAAGAGATTAGGCATCTAAAGAACAAGGTGAGAATGCTTGAGGAGAGGGAGAAGAAGCTCGAGGTCCAACTGTTTGAGTTGTATGGCCTCAAAGAGCATGAAACTGCTGTCACCGAGCTGCAGAACCGAGTCAAGATAAACAATATGGAGACCGAGCTTCTCACCCTCAAGATGGAGTCCTTGCAAGCACAAAATCAGAAGCTTGTGGCTCAAGCTTCAGAACAGACGAGAACTGTTTCGGAGCTCGATGCTGCGAGGGCCAAGATCAACTTACTGAAGAAGAAGTTGAGGTCTGAAACTGAACAGAATAGGGAACAGATCTTGGCACTTAAGGAGAAGGTTTCCAAGCTGCAAGAACAAGAAATAGGTGCTACTTCGAGTGATTCAGAGCAGAGGGTGGAAGATTTGGAGGCACAGGCAGAAGAGTTGAGGAAGTCTAACATGAAATTGCAGCAAGAGAATTCGGATTCCGGTCATCGATTGGAAGCCACACAAGTGCTTGCAAATTCTGTTCTTGAAGATCCAGAGGTATGCCATGTTTGTTTGTTGTTTTACCTCGATCCCATTAGCATAACTCGTCGCTGGACTTTACGGCCACTAACAAATTAGGTGAGTTAACTTTGATTTCTAACAATGTTGTCAAGGATATCTGGAAAATCGGGATAAATGTAGTGAAGGGACTTTGTCCTCAGATTTCCAATTGAACCGAAACACTATAGTTAAAGCAGATCTTGTAGGCCCTCCAATTAGCCATAGAGTAGGGAGGGATGAGAGGATAAGAGTTTCTCTTGGTAATGTGGGTTGGACTGGATCAAGTAACTGGTTTAGTTTAGGAGTATGATTTAAAATGGATTGACTGGTAATGGCTGAGTCAGATGCCAATCTGGATAATCAAGACAAAATTTGACAGGTGTTTCAACTTGTCAGTGATTCCAAAGCTGAGTGACCTTCCATCTAACTGACCCTTTTTGCTTTGACTGCTGCTCTTTCTTTGCATGAAACTGGACCTCTTTTGTGTCTATAGATGGAGGAGCTGAGGAAATTGAGCAATCGGCTAAGCGAGGAGAACATTCTTCTGACAAAAGAGGTGGAGAGGCTCAAAGCCGATGGCTGCTCAGATGTCGAAGAGCTTGTCTATCTCAGCTGGATCAATGCCTGCTTGAGATACAAGCTGCGAAATTTTCAGGCGCCTAATGGAAAAACAGCTGCAAGAGACCTGGGCAAATCACTGAGCCCCGAGTCCGAGGAGAAGGCCAAAAAGTTGATACTTCAGTATGCGGATGCTGAAGGAATGGGGGAGGAAGGAATGAGAACGGTGGATTTCGAGACGGATCAATGGCTTTCCTCCCAAGCATCATACATCACAGTGTCCACAAACTTTGATGATACTCCCTCAGTATCAACAAAGGCCACCACTATGAACAACAATAGCCCTAGAAAGCTGAAGATCTTCAGGAAACTCAGGCGGTCAATACGTGGGAAAGATGAGCACAGGACGGAAGATTCTGATTATCCTAGCAGTGTATCAACTGGGACTGATGCAGGAAGTGACACACAGTCCAATAGAGGTCGGACACCATTGAGTTCATACCGGTTCTCTACTGATAGTCATAGAATGAGCATTCCGGGGTTGTATGATGCTAAGGAAATGGAGAGTCTTCGTGTAACGAGTGATCTAGGGTCCACCGATTTGCTCAGGAGGTTTTCATCAGGCCCAGAAACAGGTAGAGACTTTTTACCAGACCAGGAAGACCTGGGGAAATCTGACTTGGTTAGGTTTGCTGGAGTATTGAAGGAGTCCAACGGCAATAATGTAACAGAGCTACATCATAGAAAAGGGAAAAGCAGTGTATTTTAGCTGAAAATCAATGTTTTCCCTCGATAAATACCTAAGGAATAAGGTTTCTGATGTAAATATGCATACACATATATGCTGCTTGTTTGTAGTTGCGAAATGAAATTGGGGAAATGAAAAAGATGCCCACTTTACGACTGTCGAGTTTCTTTTCTCTGCTCAGTTCACTTCTTAAATTCCCATCAGGATTCAAGAGCATTACATATATACAGTTATACACTGTGGAACAAGGGTTATACTTGCAGCCCACTTAACTCTATAACTAATCTTAATTTTGATCCTCGGCATCTAAATCAATCGGGCAAGTTCCATCATCTACATTAGCAAGAGGATTGTACAGATATGAACCAGGATCCATGCACCCTTCAACTAGATCAAGATTGCATCGATCACCCTGCATTTTCACAGCAAAATGGAACAGAATTAGCGGCTTAAGATAGGGTTTACAAGGAACGGGAAATGAATGCTTTACACTTACTCCTTCAATTGACAAGTTACCGATCATGGCGCATCTCGTGGCGACAACCTCAGTGTCTGGGAAGATTGCTCTGTCACATGCACCTTCTTGACTCAACTCTTGTTGCAGACCCTGTTAGGAAAAGGTTAAAGGAAACAGTTCGTAAATTACATACAAGGTGTAAAAGCTGGGGATTCTTCTTTGTCATGGTTACCTCGTTGAAGAACTCAATCTGTTTGTTTCTCCACCCCTTTGGAACTTGGAATTGCAGTCTGTAAGGACCATCCCATTCTACTCCATTTGTGAATGAGAATATCAAGTTCACAGCTGCAATGAACATGGGAAGTGAGCCAGTGGAGATAGAATCACAAAAAAATCATAAGAGAACAAAGAATTTGATTAAAGTTAGACCAACCATGCTTAGGAATGCATATTTGGATGGAATACAATGGGGCATCAGCTTTTCCTCTAACTTTCTCAAGCATTGCCCTTGGCTCTCCACCACACATGATAGGTTGGTTAAATCCACCTGCAAAAAAGTTGCATTTCAGAAATCTTCCAACAAACTTCAACACATTAAGCATTCTAGTTTGTGCCAAACGAAGGAAGAAGAGACAATCACCATTGAAAGCAATCCCAAATTCTTCATTTGGAGTGAGTTTCTTAGCTGCTGGATTGTAGAAAAGTTTCAGCATCTCTCCCTGAAAGTCACAATATTCACAGCATTAGGATCAAAAGGAACATATTAAATGCTGGAAAAACTTGAATTATTGTTGACTTCCACACTCACGGAAGATGGAGGAAGGCCATTCATGGTTTTCCAAAAAACCGGTGCCCTTCCCATCTCAAACAATGCCCATGTAGGAAGTGCATATCTGAAAAAAAAAAAATAGGGATCAGAGAAGACATAACACTTCCATGTAGTTAGGCTGCACATAAATGAAAACTTAGTGATTAAACCTCTAGCAATCACCATGAAAGTAAAAAAAGAATGGTCCATACTCTTTAACTTCCTGATCCACTGGTGTGGCAATAGTTGTTGCTGATGCGGTCACTTTCCCTGAAGTTCTCAATGTTGTGCTCTTATTTGGTGAACTCCATGGTAATGAAGCACCCATGAAGCCATTGACTGCATGCATCATAACCACATAATTTATCCAGTCATGCTGAAAGCCTATGAATCAGATAAAGATAAAAACTAATGGAAAAAACCAGTTAAGCAGTTGAAAGATCAGGAATAAGAAGCATCAATCTGTCTAGAGCTAAAAAGGGAAAAGTTTTTGCACAACACCTTTCAATTTAGCACCAAGTAAGTAGTCTGAAAACAAACAGCTTTGCCGCGGAGAAGTACCTAGAGCGTTCATCTTTTTAACTGACGATATTTTTCAGGTGCTTACCTAGCGCGTTCGAGATGGGTGGATTAAGCTTCCTGGAGCTACAAGATTGAGGTGGAGATGTGACAATAGCGGCCATTCTTCCTGGAGTAGCCTTAACTCAGAAACTGGACCAAAAAGTGGAGTTGTTTGCTAGAGATTAATAGCTACAGGGTAAACTGCAGAAGAAGTATATAAAAGAGATTTCGTAGAGATGGACAAAAGGAACGGGAAGCAACCTCAATCACAAAAAAACTAACCAAATAAAATATCTTTCTGTTCTATTCATTTTAGCCATATCCAGATCCAGTTGGGAACACAACAAACAGACAACAAGGTCCAAGCCGTTGCTTAGAAATATCTCTGGTGCCATGTAAATATCTGCAAACCCCTCTTCGAAACAAATTTCAACTTATTAAACATCTCATCATAACATTTCAAGTGGGAGCAAAATGGTGAAAGGATAAGATAAACTAAACTGCTAGCTAGAGATCGCCAAGGAATCAAGACAAATGAAATTTTGAGGGTCGAATAATTACCTGTGAGGGACCCCAAATTAAAAAATTTAATTTAACGAAGGTGTTCACAGATAGTCCATAATCTACAAACCTCATTGATCACTGGATTATCTTGGGGTCACTCCAGCTACCCCGGGGTCAATTAACTCGGGTCACCTAGTCCCCCGGGTCAAACACATTGGGTCACTCCGACTGATGCGATCCCACTCACCCTACATGACGTTACTCGAGCTCAAATTAGATTTCTACATGGACCATGGGTCGAGAAGATTTAAGAGGTTCAAAGAGATCTTGAGAGTTTTAAAGGTGGAAGAAAAGGGCTCTACAAGCAAGACCTACAGGTTTGTTCATGTGAAATTGAATGCCAACATATATAGTTTTCGTGGTCCAAAAATGAAGGTCCAAGTACAGCGATACAAGGATCAAATGGGATCGTTCTTGATAGATGGATTTGCATAAAGGAAAGCCCATCACATTGCTTGAATTCGTGGATCCAAATCATGAGAAGATGGGCTTGGAAGAAGGAGAAGAAGATTCGGCCCAGAATGAAGGAATTCCCACATGGTGTGAACAGAAGGTGTGAACAGAAGGTGTGAAAGGAATACAAGTGTGAAAGGAATATCAAGTGTGAACACAAGTCATGTGAGGGAGGATTTTAAGGCTAGAATTAAGGGCTGAAAAAATCAAATTTGTTACCTTTTCTTTGTAGGACTTTGTTTATCTGTTTGTTAAGGTTTTTGTTTTCCTTTTTCAAGTTGGATTTGGTTTTCCTTAGTTGTTTTGTGTTTAGATTCGTTGGTCTATAAATAGGAGTCAAATCAATGTATTTTTCATTCAAGTTTTCAGCAATCAATTACAAGTGAGTTTGTGTGAGTTCAATTGTGAACGTTTTTGCTTAATCTCTCATTTGAGGATTCGGGAGAATTGAGCGATCTCTTATCAACTAGAGAACACGTCTAGTTGTGGCGAGTATCGAACAAACCTGTAGGTCTTGCTTGTAGACCAATTGGCCCTTCTCACGAGTTCGGATCTGTTTGATCGATTTCCGCCACTATCCTTTATTTTCGTGTTATTGAATAAAGAAGAAAACCTTAAAAGAGTTCGATGTTGCGCAATTGTTATTTTTGGTCCAAGTTAGGGTGGATTCCCGAATTAGGATCATATCAAGCGGTAGGAGAGCCTTGTTCAAACGCAGCAGAGAAGACAAAGATTCTTGGAGTTCTTGGTGGTTCGTGAAGCATTCTTGGAAGTTTTAAACGTCAAGAAAGAAAATCTGCAATGTTCTTGGAAGGGTTTCTTGTGCGGCAAGGAATGTATCTTGAAGACAAAGCATTCGTGGGGTTCTTCTTTAGCAAGAAACCATGGCGGATCAAGCACAAGACTTGGCGACACAACTTCAGCAAATCGCCGCCCAAGTAGCAAAGGTACTTCAAGAACAAGCAGTGACTAAGACACAAATTGAGGCATTGCAAAGGCGTGATCAAGACCAACCTCAACCACGAGATCAAGGGCCACCGGAAGGAGAGTATGCAAACCCTAACCTTAGGGAGCAATGAGAAGAAACGAGAGTTGTACGAGCTGTTCAAAGTCCAACGTATGAGCATGTTCGTCGACATTGACCATTGGGAGGGCATCGTGGTACAAGTAGAGACTTTCCCTTCTATGACAAAGAAGGCTATGAGGAGGTTGACAATGATGAGATTGCCTATCAAAGAGAGGAATATGATGATTTACGAGGTATTAAGGTGACCACTCCATCATTTCGAGAAACGTTTAGCCCCGGGGTCAAATACGTTGGGTCACCTAGCCCAACCCAGGGTCACTCCGCCCACCCGGGGTCAAATACGTTGGGTCACCTTGGGGTCACTCCGGCTACCCGGGGTCAATCACCCTGGGTCACCTTGGGATCACTCCGGCCACCCCTGGGTCAATTACCTCGGGTCACCTACCCCACCCCGGGTCACTCCAGCCACCCGGGGTCAATTACCTCGGGTCACCTACCTCACCCCGGGTCACTCCAGCCACCTAGGGTCAATTCCTCGGGTCACCTCGGCCACCTCGGTTCACCGTGTGGTCAAATACCTTGGGTCACCTCGACTACTTTGGGCTCTCCGCCCACCCCTAGTAACCTCGACCTTTAGCCACGTACCCCCGCAACGTGTCCTCCCACCAGAACACCAAGCTCCTGAAGGAGACACGTACTCCCTTCATGTTCGCCTGGGGGCCTCTATAAAAGGCAACTTTGTTTCCAGATTGAAGCAAAAAAATCCCCATGCCTAGACTCGTGAACTCGTGCTATGATTAGCGTAGAATTTCATTCTCAACTCCATTCCCTCATCTTCCTTTTCGAGGTTATATTCCTCTCCACTCAACCCACTCACTAACTAGAGCGTCAGAGAGTGTCCCCGCCGAGATCGGTCGGCAGACCTTTTTTGCAGTAGACGACCGGAGCTGATATTACAAGTGAAGTTTAAGGTGAAAGGTGGTCGTCGACCGACTTCTGTGCCCAACATAAAAAAAATTTGACGTCAGCTACAACTCCGGTATCAATAACTTGCCATTGAAATTGCTTATGGTAGAATTATAGAATAGTAATTAATATATAAAATCCTTATGGTCCGCTCACTTTTCATGTCGTTTTTCATAATTGCTATAACAGAGCACAAATTAAAATGAAAACGAAGTTGTCGTTTCTTGAGAAACAAAACATGAAAAAAACTTCTTTAGTTGAGAATTTTGGTGAGTTTTGAAACTGAATTCTAAAAATGAAAACCTATTTAGTTGCTTCATTCATTATGTTTTCTTATACTTAATTAATTATCCCAGTTTTTTCATTGATTATCATACAATTCTAGTCGTGATTATAATTTTAATAAGAATCACGACTAGAACTCGAGTATGCTTCTGAACCCTTCCGACCAGATAAATCAACGAGCACTTATTTTAATGCCCCAAATCGCTTGTTACACATATAATCCAAATAAAATCACCAGTTTTATGGTAGAAATGCATTGGTGGCCACAATTGTAAACCAATCACCCCTCTTATTCTTGTTCTTGTTCTTCACATGGAATTATCATGTCCAGCGCTCTCCTAGAGCGTTGCGATCAAAACGTTTGCAATATCATGCCATCCCTGGATCTACAAAGCAGGTCAATGTTGTACTGACCTTGAGCTTGTGCCGCAGTCCATCCAAATTGGTTTTTAGCACTTCAATTCATGCAACAAATTTGATCGTTTATGCCAAAAGAATCCGATAGAGTTAATCACCACCACCAGAAGTACAATCTAAATCGCCGGCGAATTGCCCCACAAGATGTTAAAGTACTGTTTAATAGTAAACTTAACAGCCGACGAATCGGCACTCGCTCCGCCGCCGCTGCCATCTCTGCCGACATTACTCCTATTTGAACCGTTGGTCGAACGACAAGACTCTCTCTCTCTCTAAGGGAGACGAATGCCTAAACGGCGGCGAGGTCTTCCTCATACACGCAGCCGTCTCAAAGCTCCCACGAGTCCCTGGACGCAAAGGCTGTTGGGCACACGGAAACTAGATTCAGACCCGACCCGATAAATTTGATCAATAATATAAAATATTGTATAAATTAAGATATCTTTTTATTGTACCATATAGAATATAAATTATTGAAATACTTATTGAAAAGAAAAGGATCCTATATCATTTAAGTTTTTCAATATTTTAACCCATGCAATAATGCAAAGTAGCGAAATCCCACAAAAAGTATATAACCACACCTTATTTAACTACTTTCCATTACAAATTATTGCAAAATTGTCTTCCTTTCATTTCAGATGTCCTCTTTGTCCTTTTTGAATTTGATAATAATAATTATTAATTTTTTTTAATTTATATTCTTCCTTTTTTTATTATGATAATGCCAATTTTCTCTCAAAGTTCATTCTTTTCATGTTTACGCAAATAATATTAATAAAAAATTAATTCTACAAAGTAATATATTTTCTGATTTGTGACGGTAAGAGAATACCAAACATTCAATTACTTGAAAATTTAAAATTTGACATACAACATAGAGTTTTCCAACAATTATATCGAGTCATCTACGAAATTTCTTATTGACATTTAAACCAAAATTAAATCAAGGAATTTGAACTCTAAAAAAAATCTAATCAAATTACACTTCATTTCACTATGTTTTGTCACACATTAGAGTAATTTTCTTTTGTCTTCTTTACCGTCAGCCCACCATCAACACATTATCCTCTCTACCATTAACGGTATGACTATTTTCATCACTGACTGTACTATCTCCGCCATTAAATGTCTCTTCCTTTTTCCAACAACGTTGTTATACGAATCAGTGACTCCACTACCTCATTTCATTGCTAGCACATTTGAAGGAAAAACTTGTTCAACTATGAAACATCATTATCACGCAAAATAAATTTACCTTATCCAGATCATGTGCATTAATTGTTGGAGATGTGCCCTTTCTCATCTTTGATTCTCTTTCAAACTATGAATTCACATATGAGATTTGTAATTTACTATTATGTCATTCATGTGATTTTAACTCCGTAACCTCAATTTGTAAGAGAAGGGGAGGAGGATGTCCTCTTCTGCCATTATTTTGGAATAGTTTCTTAGAATTACGCAAGTCCAAAAAATTTTAATCCTTCGCACTTCAAAACTACAAAGTCATATTTAACATTTTTCTTCACAACATCAAATTAGTTTGAGATTCATTATTCAATTGAAAAATATAATTACACATGCCAAAATCCTCCACCCTTGCA